CGCTCACCTCATTTACTCTTGATCATTCCTGGCGATGGCTTAAGGGCCAGCTTGCACAAGTCACCCTCCTCTCTGATATTCTACTCCACAAACACTCTTGGGCACAGCTTATGGTCAGTTCCTCATATCCTCTACCTCTATCCAAAACATGACTAAGAAGATAAAACTATTCACTGAGACCCTATAATCTCTCTCCATCAATCCTCTCTCATCTGGGTTGATTTCCTAGCCTTCCTACTTCCCTTGGACCCTTCAGAGCCTGAAAGGTTGGGGTCACTGCAATGCTAGCCAGTGGTACAACATCCTGGATGGCTCTCAGCCCTCTGGTTGCTCATCTCCTTTGGCTAAGTAACTCAGTCTGAGGGCCAAGTTAAATAAACCCCACTCTGGAGGTCAGCAGAGTAGTTACACTTAAGAAGTCAACTTTCCAGTTTAGGAGCTTTGAGAGGAAGCTTGATTTTGACTTTAGATATCCATGGCTCTTAGAGCCAGCACCCAGATCCTAAATACTATTCCACCCAAACAGCACCAGGATTCATAGAGAAACAGCTGCTTCCAGGACCTGGACATAAATAGTTAAGGTGAACTTGAAACATTTAGAGAGCAAGGAATTACTTAAAGAATGATTCGTGGAGCTGACTTGAAGGTTTTTGCTGGCCAATTCTGAGAAAATTGGAACAACTGAAAAATGATGGTAACATATGAAACATGGGAAAAAATTTAAATTCACGAGTCCACAGTTCAGTAAAAGAGAAAGTCAGATGTAAGAAAATGACAATTGGTGAATCCAAGTAAAACATATATGAATGTTCTTTTCTTTCAATTTCCTGTAGATTTGAAATTTTTCAAAATGAAAAGTTGGGGAAAGGAAAAAAGAACCGATTCCTTTTTTTCTGAGCTATTCAAACCAATTCTGTCCTGGGCAGAATATTCTGGATATTCTGAGCTTACCAAACCAATCTGTCCTGGGCAGAAAGAGGTAAACAAAGTCTTCTCCTGGACTTGATGACTTCAGGCCCTTCTCCTATTATCTTGGTCAATACAACCTGTCCATGGTTATGAATGAATCAATCACATAATGGATTTTAAGACTGCCATGAGTGAGGTTAATACTAATCATCACAAACATTGTTAAGGACGGTGAGCAAATAACAGTGCTAAGGCATCTACTCAGTGCTGAATGCTCTGTAATGTGTATATAAAATACTCTGATCCTTTCTGGTGCTTGCCTGTCATTTCTCCAACCTTCTGAGGTTATCTGTGGCCCTCAAGAAAAAGTGCCAGAGCCCTACAGATGGTGCTCAGCCTGAAGCCCTCCTCCTTCAGAACTGAGCGGTCTGAAAAGGTCATTTGGGCGCCATCTACTGGGAAAATGCTTGCACTGCCGTGGGCTCCAGCCCCGTGTCCAGGCCCTGAATAGGCCCCCCCGCAGGGGACCACTCAGCTCCTCAGCAGAGGTAGGCAGCATAGTGCCCACTACCCGACAGACATTCAACGAACAGTGAAATGAATTACTTCCTCCTTTGAATTCCCCTCACATTTATTTAATGTCAGTATGAGATGTAGGTGATAAGAATCTTAAAAACTATATACTGATGTCTTCTTATGGTCAAGCTCTGTTACCACAGATGGATTACAAACTCATGAAGGGCTTATTGTTTTCCTTAGTGACCAGCCATGTGTTCATAAGAAGTGCTCCATAAATGCTTGTGGCTGTGATCAGATAACATGCACTGTGTGGACTGAGGCTTTTAGAACAAACATAATGAAACTGAGCAAGCATAACCAAATCCACACAGTAGGAATCTGACCATTTTTCTGTTTGTTCCTTAGCAGTAACCACATTTTAATTTTTTTTTTTTTGGTCTCTTCTCTCTAAATTGCAAGCTCCAAAATGGCAGAAACCACATCTGCCTTGCTTGTCACTGTATGCCCAGAACCTAAGACATATTTTTTGAATGGAGTAGATTAATGAATGAGAGCATGTGCCTCTGCTTTGCTTGGCTAGGGGTGATGACCAGGCACCCTGAATCAGTTTTGCTGTCCTCAAGAAAACCTTGATCCTACATACTGACACCATCATGATTCAAGCAGTCACACTCCATATACCCCCAACTCTAACCCTGAAGCTAAACCCAAGACTCGTACAAGTGCTCTTGGGCCAGGCACACATACGGGATTTCTCTGGGCAACTGGCATCTTTCTGTCTCATCATTATTTACTTTACTAATCTATATGCAAATATTCTTCCCCTTCTCTGTCCTGTTCTCTAAATACACCTACTTATACAGAATGATCAGTGTATTGTTTAGGAAATATTTGTACACCTCCCCCTTGAGATGGAGTATACTTTCCTATTTGATCAGGGATGTAGCCAGGTGACTACTTTGGGTATGCTGGTAAATGTGATTTGAGCAGAGACCTTAAACGTGCCTGTGCATTTGGTTGGGCTCTGTGTCTCTGCAGCAGACCCTGAGAAGAGCACACCCCAGTGGCTGCTGACCCTGCAGCCTGGGCCATGGAGCCTAGGGCTCAACCCCGGCCAGCTCAGCAGGCATCAGTTGAATCAGTCAATCCACCAGCCAGTCATAAAGAAAAATGAATACTTGTGCTTTTGAGATGGTTTGTTACACAGCAAAAACTGACTAATATATATGAACACATTATCACACTACTCCTGAAAGCTTCAGTTTGGAAATTCTATTCTTTCTCTGTTACAATATCCTTCCCATCTACATGTTCCACTACTTTATTACCACTAAGCCTGCTTATTCACCTCATTGAGACCTCCAGTCCCTATTCTTTCTCTACCAGGCTGTTTCTGGTTTCACATCCTACCTAACCTGGGCAACCATGTCTTAGCCAACTCTTGGATCAACTAAGTGGCTGGTTTTATTCACCTCAGCCACCATGCTGCTACTGTGACCATTGTCCAACTCTCCTAACTGCATCTACACAGGTGGTCCATCTTCCACTGGGTCCTTGGTCTGGCCTGGACATGCTTGGACTTATCACTGTGCGGGTGCCTTTCCTTATTCCACAGGTGGCTCTCCCAACCCTCTGGTACTTTGGTACTTTAAAGCTATAGCTTCATTTCTGCTCTGTTCTCAACAGATTTTGCTTCAGATTTTTCAGTGAAAATATAACTGTTAGAGGGAAACTCACTAGTGGAGGTGGAAAAGCACTGTAGTTAAGAACAGGGGTCTGGAATTGCACAGAATTAAGCGACTTCCTATTTGCCCATACCTGTACTAAGGCATAGCTCAACCATCACCTGCTGTCTAAAACCTCCCCTGTTCCTGACCTGCTGTGATTAACTGTTGTCTTATCTATGTTCCCAGAGCACTTTAGCCATACCCTAGTTTGCAATTTTTCCTCGACTTCCCAATGCACTTAGAATAACACCTAAACTCTTAACCTAATTTACATACTGTAATTATAACGCTGATCCGACTCCAATCCCATCACATACCCCCCTTCTCCATTCACTCACGCAGAGAAAGACCTCCCATATCCAAAGGGGAGAAAACCCCAAAGTTGTCTTACATACTCCAGAGGTCAATGTGAAATCTGAAACTGTGCATTATGTCTCAAATTACATCTTTCAAAAAGTTTCATTAAAAGTAGTTTTATTTTGGACTATGTATCAGTTCAGCAATTCAGGAGAGCACAGAATAATAATGACATATTTATTGTATCAGTTGAGCTTTTACTATGTGCCAGGCAGAACTCTAAGTACTTAAATGCAGTATCTCATTCAATTCTTAGAGCAGCCCTATGAGGTAGTTAGCATTATTGCCATTTTAAAGTAAAGGAAACTGAATTAGCAAGGTTAAATGACCTACCAAGGCCCCAATACTAGTGACTGGCAAAGTCATTATTAAACTTGGGCCTATGTCATTCCAGAGCCTATACTCTTGATCATTATGCTACACTGTCTCCAGAAAACAGCTGCCAGAGGAAAACTGGGATTAAATCCTACAGCTAATCTACCTAGAAGATGATCTTCCCAGTATTAAACTATATTTCCTAGAAATCACCTAAACTAATATTGAAGTTTTAAATCTGCAATCAAGACCAGCACTTTAAAAATTATCTGTATTTTGGATAAATTAAACCCAGGTTCATCCAAAAGTACCAATACACCCTCTCTCCTCTAGGTGCAGTTGAGTTCCTGAGCCACACACCACATACTTCACTCTTTGCCCTAGACTCTTGAAACTCATGGCATTTTGCTACTGGTTGGATCAGGCAAAGAATACCAACAGCACTCCATCCTCCATGTCTGCAAACTGGGAATATCAGACTGCTTCTGATTCAAATAGAAAGCATGTAAAATAGGCTTAGTGAAAAAAATGGCAATCTGTACATTGCTCCAGATCCAGACTCAGGATTCTCACCATCAGAGCACTGCAGAGAGGAATCTCAAACTAAGGGACAAGTTAGATTTCTATTCCATTTTCAATGGATTACTGATGCTCAGAAGGAACCCTGATAAAGATCAAGTAATTCTTGGTGACCAAGTAGAACCCAGAAGAATCCCTTTCCCGGCACAAGTGACATGCTGACAATTTGATGTGAGCTCTAGAAATTTAACTCAGGATTTAAGAAGTTTACCCATAGAGATTCATATTTAAAATGTACGACAGATTTATCATTTTTGAAGGCTTACTCACTATTTGCTGACCAATGCTAATACACAACTGTTTCTGGAATGGACACGAGGCATGCTGTGTGCAGAATGCCTTGGCTTCCTTTAGGAGAAAGAGAACATTCAAGAGCAAATATAAACCTCCTGTGGCCAATTCCAAACAGATGTCCATGATCCACACCCAGCAGATGGAAACACATCTTTGTTTTTTATAGTCTTACCTAGAAAGCCCTCTGGCCACAAGCTTTCCAGAACCCAGATTCCAGCAAGATAAAAACTTTAGTCCAGTGTAAGCTGAGAAGTTAAAACAGCCCACCCTCGAGATGGAGCTAGGTCAGGGTCTACTCACGCATGCAGTCTCCTCCATACCAGCCTGCTCGGCATTCTGCACAGTAAATTCCCTTCACGTAGAAGTCGTCCAGACTGCCGCCCCATGAGCCATTGCGGCAGGTCTTGCAGTTTTCAAAGATGGTACAACCTGAAACATTTCCAAGAGGAAGGGTGTTAGATTTCACCTTCAGATCCGCAGTATGAGAAACTGCACACCTTCTCAGGGCCTTGTCTCAACTAACAGCACCTGGGCCGAGAAAGATGTCAAAGTCCTGCTAGAGTCACAAGAATTCAGACCAAGGAGTTTAGGAGGTTGATCTGAATCATATTCCTATTCAGTGGCTGATGTTTTAAATTAACATAAAATAACCTGTAGTAAAAGGTAGCATGTAACAACGTGGTATATTTTTTTCTCTTTATAAAAGAATTCTATGTTTATTGTGGAATACTTAGAAAATTCATTCAAGCAAAAATAAGGAAATTAAAACACCTAAAATCCCATCACCCAGAGAAAACTATTGGTAACACTCTATCTATATATATACAAACATATTTTAAAAATTAGGTTTAAACTATATATTGTATATTCTGTTATACAAATGACTTTTTCATTTAAGAATACATAGTAAAAAACCTTCCTGTCCAATTAAATATTCTTCTATGTAATGTACTTCTCTAACCAAAGTACACCACTGGAAACAACCTTAATGCCTAATAATGGGCTCACGCTGGAAGGTGTTAGGCTGCTCCCCACCAGCAGGCCACACCAGAGACGGAGGAGCAGCTGCCAGTCAAGGGTCATTTATAAGACATAGTCTCTTGAGGGGTAGGGCATAGTGAGGAAAGGTGGAGATAATCCAATCCCACTCCCTGAAATGGAGAGCTAAGTTCTGGCTCTGCCTTTGTCCAGCTATGTGTCCTTGCGCAAACTGCTTAAGCTCTCAGTGCCTCATTGCTGTCATCTATAAAATTGGGGCTAAAAATTGTATAGAACTCATAAGGTTTTTTTAAAAATTAAATTAATACATGTAAAGGGCATCACATATAGTAATTACCCCGCAAATAGGTGCCATCATTATTATTCTGCATTACTGTAACTCCACTTGGCTCACCCCTGCCATGGTATATATATGGTGCTTGATTTTCACTGCCTATTACTTGTTTTCTTATAATAGGCTGAACTCAGGGACTGTATCTTTTTCAACATAACCCAGAACTTAATACAATATCTGGTACATAATAAGTGCTCAATAAGTATCACTGGAGTGAATTAATAAATGGATGGATAGATGAATGAAGTGCTAATCCAAGCTTGTGAGCTGACTGAGATGACCAGTGCTTCCTTGAGTGCATACTTCTTTGCTTTGGGCTGAAATTAGGTTGTCATTTGCCTGTAGTGAACATGTACAGTGTATGTACATGCAGTTTCTGTTGGAGAGAGACTCAAGAGCCCTCACTTTGCATATCATACTGACTTTACTTTGCTCCCTTCTCCCAGTCCCTTCTCCTACCAGAGAATAGGACTTGCTAATATCATTTATCAAATTCCAGTAGGTCATGTGGCCCATAATTGGGTCTCAGTGGTATCACTATACTTTCTGATGACTATCTTCATCCATGTGCCACTTTTCCCTATTTGATTCTATATCCACTGTGCCACTGAGGAGGCAAATGGAATCACTGTCAGTGGCCCTGCCAACTCTCTTACTTAGCACAGTCACATCCAAACCATTACACACAAGCCACCAAAAACCTGATGATTAACATGAATAAGGACATGTTAAAAAAGACACTAAGTAGCTCGTAGAATTGCCAGAAGGGCCAGAGGACTGAGTTTAGAGCTACACAGACTAGGACCACATGAAAATAAATAGGAAACTTGGTCCACTGAAGGCCCCAGTGTGGCTGGGCTCTCCTGGAAGCTGCCACCAGGCCCCTGGACACTGAACCTCCTGCAGCCATTGCCACCAGCAAGAAAAACTTGTCCAACATAATGGTAGAAATGATAGAAATTATAAAGCCATGCTGAGATCCTAGCACTCACCTTTGAGGATGGCAAAAATCCAAAACGATACCTTCTACTACAAGGCCTTGGGGAAATAGTACCTTCATATGTGGCTGCTGTGAATGCCAAACACATGGAAGAAAATTTGGCAAAGGCTGGAAAAATTATATAGGTAGCTCCTTTTGACTCAGCATTCTCTTCCAGGAATCCACCCCAAAGAATACTGCAAAAATACTAAATGACTGTAGTATTATTTATAGTGGCAAAAGGCTGCAAACAACCCAAATACTTATAAACCATGGTAATCCACACAATACAGTTATATGCAGTTGTAAGAACAAATGAAAAAAAATGGCTTTATACTATCAGGGACTGATCTCCACAGGTATAGTTAAGAGAAAAATGTAAGGTAGTTAGCACTGGTTATGGTATGCTATCTTTTGTGCAAGAAGGGAATAGGTATATAAATGTATATACATATTTGTATTATCAAATATAGAAAACAGATGGAAACAATAAAGCTAACTATGTACTAAATAAGTGGCATATCACCACAGACAAACAAACTGACTACCATTTGGCTTTAAAACACAGTATTTTTATCATACACCTAGTGGGATCTATTCTAAGGTCAATAATGATCACAATCATCAGTGGTCTCATTGTTTGTACTAACAGTACTATTGTTATTTTGTACAATCATATTATTTCATAATATAAAAGAAATAAGTGATCAGCTTAATAATAATTAGGAAATAGGATTTTTCACCTTGAGAGAAAAGATGTAGTGTATAAAATCAAAGACGTTAATTAAACAAACTTGGAATATTACATTTGAACTTGAGTATCAGCAGAAACTCATATTTTTCTTTTAAAAAAAATACTTATGTCCTAACTGTATGCTTAAAACAAAACAAAACCTAGTAACAATGACAGTCAATAGCATAGAACATCTCAGGTGCTGAGACTGTGGTCTCAGACCGGAGTTCCTTGGAGAAATGGCTGATTCCAGAACTGGACAGAAAACCAAAGCCTGATATGTCCTGTCAGGGGAGACATCAAGGAAGCCTTCAAACACTAGTGTGGCCGTGTCAGAAGGACAAAGAAGGACATAGGGGCTCCCATTGAAACCTCTTTTGAGAGTCATTGCTTGTCTTCTCCGTGCTGTACTGCCTTGCCCATGACCTACCTGTATTGTGTGTGCTAATTATAGAGCCCCTTAGTCCCCTTCTCCCTCCCTCCCCTCCCACCCTCCCCACCTCATTCCCTTTGGTAATCTCTGGTCCCTTCTGGGTGTCTGTGAGTCTGCTGCTGCACTAACATCCTTTTTGAAAAGAGAAATATGAGATATGGTAAAAAAATTAAATGGCAGTGAGTAATCTATAAAACTGCAAATGAACATTACATAAGATCCACTTCTAAAACCAACCACATTCCTTAGCATTAAAATTCTGCCGCAAGAGGTAACTTTTACCCTAAAATTTAAAACACCTTCAATACTAAGGGCTCCAGGGGCAAAAATCTGCCACACACTTCTCTTGGGCAGATGAGTGTCACTTTTGAAAGTGCTGTGCCAAACCCCTCCCCCCCGCCCCGACAGAGAGCTCACATCTTTCGTACTTGCCTGCCCTGCCCCCTCGCTGGGTTTCACAGACCTGGTAACATTCTCACGGACATTCACGGAGCATTGCTTGGGCCTGAGTCTGTGTTCATATATGAAAACCAAAAGAGACCTGCTCTCTCCCCACACAGACCCACATGCTTTACACTGAGTAGCACTTGTTATAGGCTATCACCTAAGAGCTGGGAAAGGCCGAGAGTTCAACATTTTGATGTAAACCTGTCTAGTTTCATAATGATAAGAAAAAACACTTAAATTTTTTAAAGGAAAATCTAAGGAATTCCACAGGAGTGGCAAAACATCTCAAGTAATGAAAGTGTAGCGATTTATTTTCTTCTTAAATTGTTCTTGTTTCTTAGGCACTTTAAAGTGTGGAAGGTTATCTCTCTTCAGGAAAATGAAAATATACTGGGGTCAACTGATTCACTTAACTTTGTTTCCTTTTTAAAAAGGCTAATGAACTAGAGGCCGCTAAGTTACATGAAATTCTGTAACTATCATCTGTCATAAGCCCCTAACTCCCCGTTTCCTAATATTTATCATTTAGAAATCATGCCCCAATCATGTTTCTTGGATCCTGTAAAGAAGGTCTAGAAACATGTTCACATGACACCCACAGGGACAAAAACACAAGGAGATAGGGAGCGTCAAATGAGGGAGATGCCCGGGCCCTGGTGGGCAGCAGTGGACATCCCTGAAGCAGAAGAAAATGTTAAATCAGGAGACAGGGCCTCAGCCGGGATGGGTCCCAGCAGCTCTGCCCTGACTGGCACTCATACACAAAGAGGGGCCAGCCCTAGCCATGTGTCATCACCCAGGTCAGCTGCAGGGCCAGGTGGGCCTAGGGTGTCAGAGCTGCTGGCTGGGATCGGCCTTTCCCTCCTGCCCATGTGCCTGGACAGGTGACATCACTTTCTCCGTCAGAGCAGGTAGGGAGAGCAGTGTTCTAGAGCCCGGCTGGCCTCCCCTCCCCCACCTACCTGCCCTGCCCTGTGGGTAGGGCCCCTGTTGACCTTAGCAACAGAACTCTGCAGGGTTTTTCTAGGTCCCCTCTGACCAGAGACACTGGCATTCGGAGGTAGAGCTGTGGAGGCCCCACAGCCATGGAGGGCTTGCTGCCTGCCACTGGACTCATGTGCCAGCTGATCCTGGGGCACCTGTGGGGGGCTCTCCTGGCGATCACTGAGAGGTGGGGATGCTTAACAGCACTCCTTGGAGGCCCCTGGGGGACCCTGGCATGTTGTGTGGGGCTGCTTTTCATGGTAAGCAAAGGATGGAAATCACGACACACCGAGGCTCAAGGCAGAAGCTGTTCTGCCCACCACGAAGTACCTGGAAACCATGGTGACACAGCAGAACGAACAATGCCAACCGATGACACCAGCAGGCCACTTGTGGTGGAGGCCAGTCCTCCCACCCTACAGAGCCTGAGCTTGGCAGCGGTGACCACACACCTGAGGCTGTCCCTTCAGATCACTCTGGGCCTTCTGGCAGAGGGATGGGGGAGCCAGCCTCCTGCACT